CTCTCTTTCTCTCTATCTATCTATCTATCTATCTATCTATCTATCTATCTATCTATTTCTCCATCTATCTATCCGACTCTTCTTCGTTCAAGTTCTTGCGCGAAACTTCCGTGGCGATGCCAACAAACAATCTCAGATGCTTTGAGGAAGTTATCGCGCGTTCCTCTTCTCGCTGTCGACTGCTTTTTCGACTCGGTCCGGTAAACCGCTAGTTTATGGACTCTCTTCTAACCAAGCTGAGCTCAAATGTTTTTGCTTTTTTTGTACAAGTATCATCATCGAGATTTTCGTGATAAAAATTGTAGCCTGCAAGTCATTAATCAGTTACGTCAATTATCTCGGTTAATTAATATTAACTAAAAATTAAGAATTATTCTTTTGCTTCTCTTGTATAGATGAGGAAATATAAGAATCATCAAATTCAATTTATCAAGTCTTTTTATATCAATTTTTGTTATAATAATATAACACTGAAGAAACATAGGATTGAAGCAATCGGAGGGTTAGAGGGAATCGAGAATCGATATAATTGATTTGAATCGACTTTTCGTACGATCTTCTCGAGACGAATACGTGCCTGCCTTGACCCTTCAGCTTATTATTTCCGAACAGAAGCAAAAACGTTTGAGGAGCGAGTTGCTGCCGGTGGGAAATATTGTCGGCAGTAATACGATTCTCACGGTCTCCGTCGCTCGCTGTCATTTCCTCTCTTGTTTTCGCGAAACTTTTCTCGAGGGACGTAAATTGATTTGTCGGCGTAAGAACTCTATGTCCGACAGCGCCTTTACTACGAGATAAACGTCAACGTTGCCGCGCAGGAACCACGTCGTTTATACTTCGTGACTTCCCCCACGTGATCGCGGCCGGCGCGCCTTCCTTCCTCGCGTTTCCGTTCCTTCGGAACTCGCGTTTGTACTTCCCCGTTGCTAGAAAAATCTCTGGACGTGTTACTGCCGGTAATAAAATTTCCCCGGACATACGAGGGAACGTACTACTCGACCTTTTCTCTTATGTTCGGTCGTCCGACTTTTCGATCCTACTTCGACTTCTCTGAATTTTCTCATAAAGATCGCCAGGTAGATATGGTTAGTTCGTTAGTAGCTCGACTTCTTTTCATTCTCACATTGTTAGCGAACTCGTGATACGGAATTAGATATTGCGACGAACGTTGTTACAAGAACGTCTGTTCTTTTGAATGTTTAATTAGCGAAGAAAAGTTCATTCAAAACTTACACAGCGCGATAAAGTCTCAGCAATTGAGAAAATGCAGCATTTAAAAATATTCGTCCTTAATATATTAAATTTACTATAATTTATTTTAGAACGTTGTTGTGTGCAATGAGAGATATTCTTAATCTATTTCTAATGATTAAATTAGCTTCGATAGATCGCGCATAATTAATGCGATTTATTATATATAATTATAATCCAATAGAATCCTATCAAATACGGATTCGTGATGTCCGAAAACCGTAGACAAATTTTTATTTACACCGTTTTACTTGTTTTACATTTGTAAATTTATAGCATCTTTAACACACACTTTTACTATCTATGAAGGTGTATGGTAGATCTTCGAAGGAGACATTGCTTACTTACTTCCTCACGGTTGCGCGAAGTTTTATCGCATCCACGAAAGATTTCCTGAAAAGTTTTCGGATACCGCGGATTTCTCCCGCATCAGGGTACCACAGCACGATGCCTTTCTATCGGTAACGGCGTTTATCTTTCTCACTGTTTCTCTACAACGTACATTCCTCTTTCATTCGACCAATATAATTCTACGATCGCTCGCGTCAGATAGTCCAGGATAAGCTTCTTGATAATTTACCGACAAATAGACGTTGCTGCACTAATGAATCAGTGCACGAATATGCTATTTTCTAAAAGAAAAAAGTTAGTACATCAAATTTATTAGTATATAAAAGTTGTATATTAAGATTTATTTCATTATTTCAAGAAAAATATAGTCAAAGTAATTTTGTTCTAGCTAATTTTGCTTTAGCAGTTTTTGTTGAAATGTTAATTATTTTTTCTATAATTATATTATCTATAATTATATTATATAACTAATGTCTCAGAATAAAATTATGTGAAAATACAAAATGTTATGTTTATAAATAGACAAAGTTAATATAACAATTTTAAATCTTTCTGATAAATAATTCTTAAGAGAAAATTTAATTTTTGCGCTTAGTGGACAAACAAAATTATCCTCGTCGAACTTAATCAGGTTATTTTTCAATTACGTATTAAAAGCATTATTATATAAAAACCACTACAATCCATACAATTATTTTGTAAATCCATCCCGGGGGAAATTGATTCGTTATTCTGAACAGCAGTTCAGAAGATTTTTAGTTTTGTTGTGAAATTGGGAAGTTGTCATAGTGAACATATCTGCAGTGTACTTTCCATAAACTCGAATAGCAAAGAAGTGTTCCAATTTTCCGCTTCGTGAACATCCAAAGACTCGCTTCTCCGCCGCATAATTCTTAAACTCGTTGCACCGACCTATGGACCACGGTGAGATACGCCGTATATGTATATGTCTATATATATGTATATGTCTATATATACATATATATATATATATATATATATATATATCTATATATATGCCGTTATAAATGGAATAAGCACGTATATTTGCTCGCTCGTTTAAGTGCGCATATATATTTCTTTATATACGATCCAAGTGCCAACCGGATCGTTCCATATAAAATTGAATTTCCATATTTGCCTTATAGATAGATGGACAAAATTGCTTTTTTAGATTTGAAAGAGTTCAATTTCTTGAGCTGTAATTGAATTAAATCGTCGTACCGTAATTACGTAATAGATTAATTGTACAGATATAAAGTAAAAGGAAAAGAATATTTGCAATTCATTTAAAAGAAAAAGCAGAATTTTCTTGATATTTACACATCGATATTGTTTCAATATCGAATTCACTAGTTTCACTTTATTTCGCAAGTTACATTGTTATTTTTTTATTTGGTTTTTTTATTTAAAGAATTTTACATTTGAAAACCGACGAGAAAAAAGGAGGTTCGCACGATGTCGTTTTTGCTCGCTTGACATAATGTAAAGTCCTTTCAGCAGTTGGCACAATTGCACAGGAAGAATTTTGAGTAAAATATTTGCATTAATTTTGCGTTAACGCTTTTAATTATACGAAAAAAATTTCCGGGATTTGTACTTTTTAAATATACAACTCGTAAAAGCCCCGAGCCATTTAATTCGCCAGTTAATTTTTTTTACATTGGCACATAAGTTTGAGCGGAGTATAATAGGGGAACGTTTTAATGCAATAAAAAGCAAACGAGCGTAGGAGTCTTTTAAAGTCGCAGATCGCAAGCTCTCTCGCGGCAAAAAGAAAACAGCTCTTACGCCCCCCCCCCCCGTAATCATGCGCGATCTGCGGCAGCCATTTGTAACGACGTAACTGCACCGGCATGATTCACTGTTCTAAAAACGAAATGACTCGTAAAGTCGATGTTCCGCCGCCCCGCCTCACCGTAATGACGCAAATTATTATATCCCGACTAAACGCTTGTTAAATAGCTCGGAAGAATCGTAGGTCCATCAGGTCCACTTTGTTCCTGATTGATATATCTTAAATATATCTTCTCTTTAATTTAATACAATCTATCTTCATTTGCGATATTTTTAAACTTTTATAATTCCAGCGTTATAATTCCAGCCGACAGACGGAACATACATCCGGCCTTAAAAATAAATTGTATGCATTGTCAAATGTGATATACTTCAAATATTTTTTCTTCCGTTTAATTTGAATGCAATTTATCTTCTTTCATGAAATTTTCAAACTTTCGTCCTGTTAACAATTAGTAGCGAAAAATTCGGTTCTTAAATAAACTTACTAAGTGCTAAACGAAATTAACATTTATCGTCACTAAAACGTATTTCACGAGATAAATACAATCTCTTTTTTTCTTTACTTTCTACATAATTTATTTTTGTCTATTTAACATTTATCACGTTTAAATTTATATTTTCAATACATACACTTTCTTTCTACACATTTACACAATTAAAAATCCTGCACGTTTATAAAAATAAATAAAATTATAAAACAAAAATAAATGTCTCTATATGTTAATAGCACATTTTTCAAGCAAAATAAACGGAGAAAATGATTTAATACGACATATAAGATTGTGAGAAATTAATTGACGGATATTACGCGATATTGTTTAAATTGGATTGGAAACTTTTATTTGAGAAATGCTCGTTTGAGCATGTTGTTCCATGTTCATCGCGATTTCTTGTAGGATGAGACTATACTTTCTGTTTCAGAGAGGTCATTCGAATGATCAAATAGTGACACTGCAGGATGCAAGCCTCCTTGCCAGCGGCACATACAGATGCGAAGTTAACGCAGAGGCGCCGAGCTTCACCACAGCCTTCGCCGAGGCGAGAATGGAGGTCATAGGTGAGTGGGCCGGTGTCGTGTTTAATTAATAATGCTTTGAACACGACCGCGTCGTCGTCTACCCTTTGGTAACTCGACTAAAGACTACGACGTGGTCGAGTTCGGCAACAGCGTATCAAAGGGGGAAGGAGAAGCAAGACGGCGCTATCCTCTTTATGGCAAAACGGAGAAATTGAGATTTGCAGCTATCTTTCGCGATGTTCCATCATCCTTAATAGCGGAACGAGCCCGTCACTGTAATTGTGAATTCGCTACCACATTTACACGTTCATCTGGCTACGATGGACCGATTAGTTCGCGAAATTAACGGCAACTCACCACTCAAGTGCTGGTGATATCAGATTACAGCATCGTGTAAGTTTGCAAGTGCCACTAAGATTCGGTATTACTCGCTAGACAATTTCGCAATTAGAGAATGTGGTAATTATCGAGTGTCAAGTCTTATAGGAATTGCTATCGCTTGGTAGGTTTAAATGAACGGTAAACACAAAAGACCGTCGACCAATTCTATATGACAAAGGAAAATATTTATTGAATACAATTGAGAATAATAAAAAATAATTTAGAAAAAGTATTGCAACCTTTCAATCTTGATATTAAAGTTAAAAAAAAAAACTTTACAAAACAATATAAATTATTCACAAAATATAAACATGTATGTATATACTTATTTTCTGAAATGCAAATTGCAAAATTGCATAATGTTATTATTAAAGTTATTAAAAAAATCAGCGCTTTAACGAGCGTTACATAATAGCTGAAAAAGTCTATGAATATTAATACTGTTTGTCCCGTTCAAATTGTTAATCTCTATTTTAATTTGAAAGCAGCATTCGTGTATTTCAGATTTTTTTTTGTAACGGATAAAAAACAACCATATAATCGCTTCATTGATTAGATGGACAAACAGATAATCGTTTGCTCCACTGACCAGTTCAAGCGGGTAAACGAATAACAGTTTGATTGATTAATCGTTCAGCTCTTTATTTGATTGCGCCATCGAACGTACGTACACGCGTGTCCGTGCAGAGTTACAAATTCATCAATAATCTGCACATGAAAACGTCATCTACTCCCTTTTTTATTTGTCTGTTATCCTTTTGTTATTTGATCTCTATGTATCCTGCGATTGCTGAAACGCTTTTATCAACTACGCTGCATGATACAGCGGCGGAGATATACAGTACAGATATGTGTAATATCGCAAATATGACGGATTTATTCCGTGGCAAAGCGGAAATATGAAGTAGCGCGTGCGCTGCCGTAGGTGAGACCAGATACAACAACGGCGATACTCCGGCTAGCACGGCTAATTCTCTTTTCCAAGATTAGCATCTCTCCGATCGGATTCGAGGCTGCGACACGTGATTCCCATGCGACATTTCGGACGTTGACCGATCAATCCGTGGTGGATTATACATACGAGCCTCACGGTCGTGCGCGTAGGTGCGTATGCCGTTCTTACGAGGATCAAAGGAAGCGTATCTAATTATCTCAAGCACACGCTTGATGCGGTATCCGTTGCAATGGGATTATCATACGGTCAAAGTGGGCGATACTATAGTACATAGTGGCTCGGAGTTGGATATTAACTCACCTCAACGGTGAGGTAGGCGGTTCGATAAGGGAAGGTAGACGCGATTACGACGGACTGCCGTCCCGCTATTGGCAGACGTAATCGTCTTATAATTATTTCGCCACAACACACAGTCCGCCATTCGCCAAATGAATATAATTCGGCGAACGGTAGAATGTGAGCTGCGGTGAACGGATTTTGAAATTATTGCAGAAAGAAAATACCTGCCGAGATGTAAATTACAATGCGTAAATTAAGCGCATTTATTCTTCAGTTAATTCCTCAAACAGCTATCCGCTCGCGCGGAAGTTGCGTTACATCGCACGAAACAAAAATAATTTCGTGTATGTCGTTAATAATTCAATAAAGGAGATACATTTAAAAACAGACATGTAATTCGCCCCGACTGAAATGAAATTAATAGAATTTAATAATTTTATATTTTATTTTACCGTGAGTGCCGAAAGTATAAAAAGTAGAGATATAAATTTATGAGTCACAAAAACAATTTTAATTAAAAAAAAATAATTACTTTCTATACGATATAAATATTCGTTTTACCGGTATGCTTGTGAAAATTTCATATACATTATTACATTAGAAATATGTATTCATAGTGGCAAAATATATGTCGCTTGAAGCAGACGGACGATTTCAAGTCGCGTGACAATCGGCCTGCAAATGCGAGAGAATTAATCACGCGGGATCGGTATCGCGCGTTTTCCAACATCGGCGAAATGTGTCGACTTGCGGAATTCTGATCGTTATTTTTCGCCTTGTTCCCGTCGGTCGATTTGAGAAAGAGTAGGAGGAAGGCAATGGACGCGCGCTTTTGCTCGCGATTCCGCGAAAAGCACGAAATTCGTTCAGGCGGCGCGCGAAGCGCGGGCGTTAAAGTTTAAGAGTGCATAAAGCCGTCGAAACGCGATAAATATTACGGCGTCGTAAGTCTTAAGTCGTAACTGGGCGCCGTCGAGGCTACGCCAAAGACGGAAAAAGAGAAAGAGACCCGAAATGCTCGCGCGCCAGCGCAAATGGGACGATCGTTGAGGATGGAAGAAGAGTGGTAGGATGTGTGGGGGAATTTTAAGATCGTTGTAGGAGCCTCGAGGAGGCTGTCGTCGTGCCAAGTTTCGCCGGCCTGTCGGCTTTTCGTCTCCCCCTGCATCTTTGCGACGAATTTTCCTCCGTTTCGCGCTGGCCCAACTGAAAAGATCGATAACCCGCGTCGTTCGCCTTGCGGCCTCTCATTCGAATGCAGCGAATCTCGAGCTGTGAACCGTCACGAAAAATGTAGCGTGATCAAACCTGAGATACAGGAATAAAATACATCCAATTTCCTATCGGTCATAGATATATAAATATAAGATAAAATCACGCAGACCCACATTTCATTTATAGAGTTGGTTTAGCTTCTTGTCAGACAATTAGTCTTTTCTTTTTGTAAGGGTAGATATTTGATTGTGTCTTTGTGACTGATTATGTCTCATTTTCTTCTAGCAGTCGAATTCTTGTACTTTTCCTTTTTTCATCTCATCTTTTCTCACTAATGTGCGAGTTCGATCGCGTTCCCGTTGTCGAGCAAGTGCGTTTCAATGGGAGTAAGCGAGCATGAATTATTCGAATTTATTTCATCGCTATGCTGTCGGAAGATGATAACTTTATTGCTAAATATTAAACCTGCTAAAAGTACTCATTGCATTTATGATATATTCGATCAATATCTATGTCTACTAACTGTCACATTAATGTTAATAAATTCATCTGACCAATTAGATCAAGAGTGTCACCAATTAACAATCTGAATTTGTAAGATGCGACAGCTCGACTCTGCGGAATTTGTAAAATGCAACTAGCTATAACAGAAGTATTTTTTGCATGGAACAATAGTGTAGAAAAAATATCATGAATTCGAGACTGGAAGCTTTACACTGCGAATGCAATGTATACTTGTGAGAAAAACTTTCTTTCGACTACCCACAACTTCAATTACATACATTTTTACTTTTCTTGATATTATTTGTCGGTCTTTTTTAATATCCATTATAAATTTGATAAATTTCTATAAAATTTGAAAAAGTTTTCATACGATTTTTTAAAAAAATATTTTTTTTTTAAACAAAACAAAACAATTACAACTATTTGATTGAACAAACAAAATTACATTTATAATTTTATTGGCCGAAAATAATTTCTTTTATAATTCAATTCATTTGTCATTACTTGACAAAAATAAAAATGAAGAAAAAGCATTTGTCTGCTGTAAACAATATTAACACCGCAACTTCCGACGGAAACGTCATTTAAGTAGCTCGAGAAGATCGTTATTGTAAAACCCAGAATGACTTCGTTGAATATTCCGAAGAGTGTCATGGTGGCTTTAGAAGCTTACTTGGAAGATGCACTTTTATCGTGATGGTATTTTCGCGAGTGATTTTGATAAGAATTATCCGATCGTCTCAAATTAACTCACAATGCATATGAAGTAGATTTAGTTACAATGGAGGCAGGAATCCAATTTTCCAGCAAGAAGAAATTACATTCGTCTTCCTTGTATAAGTAATATAGTATTAAATATAATATATTAAAAATAATAAATTATTAAAACTCATATTAAATTTTAACATATATTTCGTTAAAATAATTATATAGTTTTTTCGTAAGCATAAATAATGCATATCTAATTATCTTTTCATCTATCTACCGTATTTATTCATAGCTATATACATATACTTAATTTATTTTAAGACAGTTTAGAAAAATTAATTTTTAATAGAATTATTTTCCGATATAATGTAGAGAGAAATGTTTTTAGAAATTATTTTTGTAATACTATAGGAATCTTGTTATTTTATATATTTTTCGAACGTTTTCGTGTATAGTCTTGTAAAAAAGAATGCGAAAATACACGCTGTGCATTGAAAATCTTTTCAATTCTAAATTTGTTACTAAAAACGTATAGCACGTACAAAAACCATACAATTATTTTATTTAAAATAAAATTAAAAATTAAAATCAAACTTCAGCATCATTTGGAGATAAAGCTAACAGAAAGCTATTCTATTTTCCATTCAGGTGAGCATCCCCTCTATCCTGCAGAAAATATACACGTCAAACAAACGTGCGTGCAGTCTCGGTCGTCGTCGTAAATTTCGCGAGTGTTTCCCAAGCGAGCGCACCTAATCCCCGTTGCACTCTTATGGAGCTCACTTTTCCAGCTTCGACTATTAATCGTGTCTACGCGACGGCGTATCGCTACGGCCGCTTCATTATGGAGAACATTAACGCGAAGCGGCACGTATACGCCAAAATTTAAAATGCACGAGATCTAAAGCTCGGTTAATAAACGCATTTAGTGGCAGTAAAACTTCTCGCTAATGGCGCGCCCGACTTTATACGCCTTACCGCGCAAAGTTTCCCAAAGAGTGAAGCTGCTTTTTATGCCGCCGAAACAATGTGGGATTTAGTATTAGACGTTTTGGACGAATAAGGCCGAGATAAGCGGTCGTCTTCCAAGAATTGTCCCTTCGTGCTCTTTCTCTCCATTTGAGAAAATAGTTCCTTTTCAATGCTGCCTTTTAAATTTTACTTCTCGCAAGATTATTTTATATCCGCATTTTAATTTACAGAAAAAAAAATGTATTTTACATGCTTGTTCCGTTTTTTATATTACATTTATACTTTCTACTATGTTTATAATTATACAATAAACTTTCTTTTCTACCACATTTTAATATTAAAATTTAGGTACTCAACTATAATATGCTTAACTATAAGTATAATTTTAAATGAAAAATATATAACATCATGTTGTATAATTAACACACGCGTACTGCATACGTTTAATATTTTTTTCTCCAAATTATTTTACAGCACTACCTCAAGAAAAGCCAAAGATAATCGGAGAGGAAAAAGTATACGCGAGTGGTGACGTGCTCGCGCTGAATTGCACTAGTGACAAGTCCCACCCTCCTGCGAAACTTAAATGGTTCGTTAATGGCCAGCAGGTAAGCGCAATCGTTTTTGTTTAAATTAACACCTATATTTCTCCCAGCATCGGGGAAGGTGTTGCGCAAGAGAGAAACAATATTTACGGACGAATTTTTCAATATATCATCAGTCAAAATTAATACAGATGAATAAAATAAATGTCCGGCAAAAAAATAGAAAAATTGAATATTTTACGATTGATATTGTATTCTCGTCGAATGTGGGAGCATTGACAGCGTTTTACTCGCCGTCGCACGGGTGACCAAGCTTGCACAAAATCTATAGGACATGTGTGTATAGCGTTGTAGCTTGGAATAGCACGTGGATAACACTAGCGGTCATGCGTTGGGATTGGATGGGAGGGCGGATTGCACCGGCAAGAGCCGGTGAGAGAATGGAAAACGAGAAGGAGAACGAATGGTTCCATAGTCCAAGCCGACTGAGAGTTCGACCGTCGCGGCGACGTGGCTCGATTTCATCGCGCAAGCAACGGCGACGCTTGATGAGCCAAAGCTCCAATTAACGACCGACGAAACGGATCCTCCATGCAGCTGCGTCGGCCACCACCGGTGCACCGATATTCAACACTGGGGGGCTTTCTAATGCGCGATCAGCGATGCGCCGTGGTTTTGCCCACCTATCACCCACTTCCCGTCAGTTCCAATCCTCCGTCTGTTGCCCCCGTGAAAATAATCGCGGGTCGGACAAAAGCGGGTCAAAAGCGTACGTCCAGGCGGAGATGAGCCGAGGAAAAAAGCCGCGGCTCTCTCTAATTAATCCGCGGCGCGCGATGAAGAAGGATAAATTTTTGTGTCCGTGGTGGAGGAAGCTAGGGGGGAAACGAGGGGCGGGAACGAGGAGTTCGCGCAAGAGTTCTTTGCTTAATTGTTATCTCCCCCCCTTGCCGCGCAACGATCCTGAATAAATCCGGAAACGGATTTTACTCTTACTCCCCCTCGTCCGTCTCGCTCATGTTTTTAAAAATCTAGCACGCTCGCCCGCTGCTCGTCGGTATCAGTTTTTCGCACGGCGAGAATGGACACGCGATAAATCGACGCGGAGACGTTCCGTACGGGAGAGAAAGAAAGGGAGAAGGTTCTATTCGGCGAACAAGATTTTTATTTCTCTCGTTTTACGTTATTATTACAAAGTTTCCGTTCTCTCGCCACGTCACGAATAATTCAATCCTCCTATCGCTCGAGGCCGCCGGAGCTTCTATCGCATACATATTGATGTATCGTTATCGGCGCTGCCAGGGGAAGAAAAGGCGGATGTACTTCTTGGCTCTAAGCGAGAATAGGGGAGAAGTTCGATAAAATCATCGAAGATAAATGACGAGAATATCTCCGGTTTTTTCCGCAGCCATATAATTATTTTTATTCGTTCCATTAACGAAAACGATAGGAACAATTAGCGTTGAAAATATAGATTCCACGAATCTAAGTTGAGGTGTACAGAGAGCAAAATTAATCTTATCTTAAGCGAAAGAATTGCCACAATTATAACTTGCGCGGAGTGAAAAGACAGTTTTCGCTCGTTCGTGTTCTTAAATTGACTGGAGTATACAGCGGAGTAAGTGTTACGACCTGGCGTTTCTCTCGCGAGGCGTTTCTTTCGAGGATCGTAACGTAGCCGAAAAGATGGAATTACTGGCGTTCTGAGAATATTCAATTTTCGAAAATTAAGACAGACCCCCCCCCACTTTTTCATCATTTACACGAGAGATTACTCGTCGGCCGCGATGGGCAGAGACGAAACCGCGCGACGGCGGAGTGTCAATAAACGACAGCTCTTACCGTCGAGAATAGGCAAATCACGTCACGTAAAGTGCAAGTGCTTTCCGACGGAGCTTTAAAGACCCGAAGATTACGCCAATATAACAAGCGACGCTCCTTTAGAGCCTCACAGTGAATCGCATGCGGCGGCGCCAAAACTTTCTTCCTTATCTTTTAGACTCCGGTCTTCCTTTTCCGCGGAAACACACCGCCCCTCTATGCTTCCACTTTCTCCCCCCTCCTCCCTCCGAGAGAACTTTGCAACGCTCCCAACGACGTCCATTAGAAGTTGCACGAGTTTAGTATAGCACTTAACAAGTAATATTGTTTCGGAAATGTTCGTGTCGCAAGACTCGAAAAACCTGTTAACGCGAGTCAAGTAATCTCGCGAAGGGAAAAAGTTCGATCGCTCGCACAACTTGAGGAATATGTCGCGGATGAGCAGCGTGACAGAAGAATCATTGTCATAAAGTGACAAAGAAGAACGATCGCACGGCGTTCCAATATTTTGGATTTTATTTTCCCTTTTTGTTTAAAAATTTTTCATAAACCGGTATTCCGTTTCACATTTGCGATCAGCGGATAAAAACTTTATATTTATTTTATACTATTTAGCACTTTGGGTTATTCAATCTTTAACGCTTTAAATTGGATATTTTGTACATCGTTAATAATAACTGCGTTATTCAGTTTCACGATTTATTTTAAGAGAATTATTTATTTTTCAATAATTCCCTATATGAGAGAGTGATTTCATCAAAATATTAAGTTTTACATGTTATATCAGCCACGTTAAAATTTAAAAGGGGAACTTTAAAAAAAGAAAAACTAAAAGTATTCCAACTTTTTCTTCCTCTTTCTTAGTTACGCGCAAGAAAGTGCTATTAAGTCGGAAAGAGCAGGAAGAGACTAGTTGAATTCCAAATCCTACTTTCGTGATAACCACGCGCTTTTTAACCCTTTGTCATCGTATGAGAGAGGCGAAAATGACAATACTCTTTGAGGGTCGTCGTATACCGGCAAAACGGGTATTTTTATGAATTATACCACTATAAAAAGAAATGTTCTACGCCATTGGGAGCTTGTAATGCCATCGACGGCACTTTGCCCCATAACGAATATTATGTCGCGGTGGCAGTATGTGTCTGCGAAGGACGGTAACAGATCGAAGGTAATTTCGTGGGTCCTAATGAATTCTTTCTGGCCGAGCGGATATTACCAGCCGGTGCGTGAAACGAAGAAACGATCCTTCTTCGAAGGCCACCCCTCGCACGGGTTATATTTCGAGCTAATCACTAACATTATGTCAATTAGTTTTTACGGCTTTTACGACCGAAATGTTCGCAGCGTTTTGCGCGACGTGTGGAGGTTCATATATCCAGATCAAGTGAACATTAACACACATGAATAATCTCGAAAAAAAATTTATTTGAATAATTATGGTAATTGTTCATTCGTGATCATTCACGCGATCATTTATGCTTATACGTATGTGTTTGTTTATAAGAAATTACTATATAAAGTAATATTTTGTTAGAATTCTGAATTATGCTGCAATATTAGAAAACATGCGAGAAATGTTTCGATAACAAAAAAGGTAACTTGAATAGGAGGTCTTGTTATCTTGTATTGGAACTCGTTACTATTTCGATGGAGAACAAGTGCAAAAGAAGGAGGCAAAAGTGTAGAATTGGAATCGTTGGTTCCATATATATTGTGAGAAAATCATAGAGAGAAAGAGAAAAGTTGCAAATAGTAGTAGTCGCCAATTGTGGTCAGCGTAGAATCGTCGAAATCAAGATATTCAGTACCTTAAAAATTACTTAATCTGTCGACCTTAATTTTCTTATTAACCGACTTCTGTTTTTTTTATCAAACGTGCACCAAGACGAATCATCGGACGACGACTGTTTCGAAGATAAGCGCGTAAGTGCGCCGTAGATATGCCAAGAGGAACGAAATTGCAACGTATTTCTACACAAAGTAGAATATATGTAGCCGCGAATGTATAGTGTAGCTGTATCAGGATAGAACGTTACAAAGGGACATGTGCGCACAATGTCTGAACCAGGGCAGAAGCGCTGCAAAATTCATAAACGATAGGGAAAAACGCAAAGTGTTAAAATTTATCGATAATATATCGAAAACGATATGCAGCTGCTGAAATATTCGAATATACACTCGTGACATCGTCCGGATCGGATCTCGAAACACCGACGTATTCTTTTGTACATCATCAGCATTCTTCTCTCCTGAAGACACTTATCTATCTAGGGGAAAGGGAGGTGAGAGAGGAAAGGGAGACGGGAGACGGCGGACCGGCTGTCCTCGGCAGCATTTAAACGACGTCGAAACACGAGCTCGTCGTTTTCGCCCCATTTGCGTAGCCGTGTCACGGCAGAGCTTGCGATTTCGTTAATTACGAAATTCTACGCTTCAAACGAGCGTCGTACCGAAACTTTCGACGAAAGTTCCGTCCGTCAACTTTCGCACGTTGCTCGTCTTGCTTAACGCGCGCACACGCACACCCGCGGCCCGCCCCGAAAGTTTTTCGCTCACGAGGGAAATACTCAAAAGTAAAATACCACGTGCAACTCGGCCAGGCTTCGGTTCACACGTGTACGTACGTGTCTACATGTGTACAGGATGCATAGTAAGGTTTATTAATAGAGAGCAAGTCGAGTCTCGATTTTCGAAGATAAACGGGAAGATACATAAGGGTGCAATCATACACACGGGCTAAAATTGGAAGGCCGAGAGAGCTGCATGGGGGAAAAGGCGGAATACACGAGTGGAATTGTGTCGCTGACGCGGCACAAAAAAATAAAAATTCCAGTCACATAAAATACATATACGGGTATAAAGAACTTGGAGGACTTAAATTACAAAGCGAGATATCCGTATATCTGGCTGTTGCACGAAGTCGAGACATGGATATGGCGAATCTGACAAACGCGTTTGGAGAGTATCATTAACACATTTCATCGCGTTTCTTCGTCTGACGGAGATACATAATAAAAAATATATATGCTATTTATGTTCTCTTAATCATTTTGTACGTGATATTAACAAAACACGGGATACTTTAACGATAAATTTATATTACGATATCGTCATATAAATGCGCGATACGATCGCAATTACAAATGCAGCATTCTATCTGTTTATTTACTTAGTCATAAATTGAATGGAACGATTTCAATTCTGCGAGAGAGAACGTTGGTAGTGCGGGATAATAATAACATTTTTCCCCGTACAACATATTTTTACTAATCTTACTTCCAACGTTTATTTTCATATGCACAAAGTCTGGCAACGGAGATTTCTCAGTCATCGTGCATTCTCATATTCATTAAAAACTGCGCTTTTTCGCAATGAATGAATGTTTGTTATAACGTTTAATATGTCTCATATACAATAATAAGAACTTTATTCAGAATATCGGCGTTGTTTGCCAGCGTGCCTGTTTACATTTAATTCCATTTCGACACGATACTCCGTAATCATGTCCGCGATAATCTCGAAGCTACCGCACCGATATTAACTTCGTCTCTAAACGATATTTGTTCGTTTTATTGCGTTGCACGCGATGCACGCCGGTGTACACCTAGTAGAATCGGCGCAATCACGTCGAAACATAACGCGGTGGGTGCATTATCATCGCCCTGCGGCGTCACATTTACGCTCCTCGTTTTCTCCTCAATGTCTTTGCGTTCTTCGAGAAGCGACGCAACAATGCAGCGAGCGTATATTGCGCGCATCCCGCACGACATCCCCTATTTCTCGGCCTCGTGACATCCCGATCCCGGATTTATTAGATGTATAATTACCGTAGGCACGTATATCCTATATTTTGGATTTATGCTCATCCTTTGTACGGAAGGCTCAGTTCCGAGGCAACGAAAATCACGTTTAATTAACATGGATTAGAAATTGAAGTAAGAGCATTTTCTATAACAATATAGCAAATATATATATATATAAGTTAACTACAAAGACTAAATATATCCTTCAGATAATTAATCGCGCGAGATTGAAACTAATTTAGATTGACGCAAAAACCGTTCTAAGAAGTATGACCGATTTATTTTATAGCAAGGCACACACTTACTCATCTATTCCTATTCCGAACTTATATTCCGTCGATCGATCGGCAATTCCATGCTCGACGGAACTTCACGACGAATCTCATTCATCCTTCCCCGATGCTGGAAACGGAAAGTTACTTTCAATGCGACTCGATTCGATCACCGCGAGGAGAAATGTTGCGCAACGAACGATGGTTTTTCCAGGTGAAGCCCGATTCGGAATTGGTGTTCGAGCAGCACGGGCTATACTCGACGATATCGAGTCTGCTACTCGAGCTGGAGCCGGGTCATCTCGCCAGCGACAAGATAAACGTCAGGTAATTTCGGTGTTTACAACGTGCAGTATATTTCCGTCGTTCGACAGAGCCATTGCCTATGGCACCTCGGTACATACCCCCCATAAATATAGCCTCGTACTTGCTCACGCGACTACGATGGCTCGTTTTACGCGAGTTTCGCGCGATGGAGCGCGATAATTTACGTCTGGCCGGCCACCGACTTCGAAGCATGATCGAATGTCTTGTTGCAGGTGCGAGGCGACGGTGCGATCGACTCACGAGGTCTCCGAACCGTTCGTCGACGTTCGCAACACCGAGGTCTTCGGTAAGCTCACGTGACACCATAATATCATTAATATATAATCGGAACCGAATGCGAGTTTCGGGATCAAGGCTTCAGATCACGTGGACGAAATAATGACGATCGATCATTGTGACACAATCGCTACCGTGATTACAAACACTCGAGCTTTAATCTGATTTCTAATCTGTCCTCAAACAGCGTGATTGAAAAAAATAAGAAATGGAAATGGAATTATCTACTTGAGTAGTATATAATTTTCTTTCTTATAATTTTCACTCTTGTTAAATTTATTTGAGATAATAAAATATATTATATAGAGTGACACGAGAGACATAATTGTATCTATAATTTGATAAATACGTAATAATATATTTAAATACTTGCAGAAACAGAATTATATCTACAGAGTTAATATTTGCGTTTAAATTTTTTACGTTTTACGTCTACGTATATTATTTTACTAAACGGAAAGTGCAACATATGTGTAGTAAAATGGCAAATTTAATAATCGTAATTAAACAATTTTAATTACGTATATAATTTCATATAGTAATGTCTGAGAATAAATTATATGCTTATAATACAACACGAAAAAAATTTACATTTGTAATTTACATTTGCACCTTTATTATTAAATTATCCAGATATATGTGATCAGATAACAAACCATTATGTGGCAGAAAATGAGAAAATTTGAAAGTGAGGAAATTTGGTGGGAACAAGATTTAAAAATATATATATGCTTGTGTAATACGATAACAATAATAGAAGTAATATAATATATTCTTCTTTATATTATAATTCGAATGTAAGAGCGAGAGAGAGAGAGAGAGAGAGAGAGAGAGAGAGAGAGAGAAGAGAAGAGAGAATATATATACAATAATACTTTATTATTTATACTACTTATTATATATATATATATATATATATATATATATAGATATCTTGAAACGTTTAAATTATAAATAGAATCTTATTATGAGTAATCCAAAATAGAAATCGATCAATAATTACAATATATACATTAAGACGATATAATATAACAGCGTGTATTAAATTAGGAATATCGAAATCATAACATTCTATGTATTTCGTGTCACGTACAGCGTACAGAAGGCAGATAAAGCCATACTCCATTTAAAAGTGTTTGTACTCCCAACAACTTCGGTTATCGATATACCGTACCATTTCTTTCGAGGCAACCACTCGAGGAAATGTACACGCTTTATTATTTCCTGGCATGCGAAATTAGCATGGGACCCGCGTTACGGCGGGGCCCGGCTAATCGACCGACTTAGTTCCCGCGGGAAGCAAGGGTTGCGGAGAAATTAAGACAATAATTTACAACCGTGTTACCACCTGCCCTCGCAACGCCGCTCTTACCCGGCTGCACCTGCAGTTACTTTATCCCTTCCTTCGCCGCGCACCTCACCCGGACTCACTCGCGACCCGTGCGTTCGTTATCGTCTAATTCCTACCTAAATTAGTTCTGACCACTTTTCGCTCTTTCTGCCTTCTCGCTCGAGACTTCTCCTTCGTCTCTTTGATATCCAGGGCAGCGTTACAAAGACAATCGATAAGCGCACCATACAATTCGCAATAAATGTGCAAAATTGCGGTGGTGTGAAAGCGTCTAGTTTCCCTCGACACGGAGTGTCGCCAAGGGGGAAATCGGAAGGGCGAATCGGCGAGGGGGGAGGGGGGGGGAGGGCCTGGTAGAATGAGGGGAGAATACGTGATTCATCACATCGTGCATACACAGCGGTGTGTCTGTATGCACTCGCGTATACCTAACTAACAATGCTCCCGGCAACGCTCGGCGCAACGCGCGATTAAATATTTATCAACTAATCCCTCGCGTCACGCAATTCGAGTTACGATAAGAAATTCACGATTCGCGCGCGGCGTTACAGCGGGCAAATACCCGCGCACACGCTCGCGGACATCGGCCGTCTGCCGATATACATATATCACGAGAGTTTTACCGCAATAGTATTTTTCGGCTTGCCCGATGGACCATAAATCGACTTTTCACGAGAGCACTCGTTTACACGCGACGCGGCGGCAATATTTCGTGGCGATGTAAGCAGACTATTTTTCGTGGGAACGCGCAGACACTCGCACGTAGTTGACTGGTCGTTGAAATCGGAATAGCAGCATCCGAGGGAGAGAAAGAGGGGTAGAGAAAAAGAGGGAGAGAGGGAGAGAGAGAGGGAGATATGCACGTGGTGCACTCCACGCCTGAAGCGTCGTGCTCTCGATTCGGGTCAATTTTGCTAGAATGAGCCGCCGCAGCCGATCAGCCGGCGATTCACACTGTTTCGAACGCGCATATCTCTCTTTTATTAGGGATACAAAGGTAATCAACGATTTACCACATTTGTACACGATTGTGTTCGCCGGTCGAAAAAATACGTCGAAAAATACACGTCCGGTGGAACACCTGCCGCGGACACGGATATATTTTTTGTTTGTAATTTAGAGGGTGTTACGTGTCGCGTTCTCTATTTTTGTAAGTTATGGCCACCGGGATATCGGCGTTAAGATATCGGAAACGGTTATAGGTGACACAAATTGAAAACAGCGGTATTGTTTTAAGGATATAATCGATAATTTATCACATCGCAATACGATTGGCCGGCGATGAAGGATGATAATGGGTGATAATGGGTCGGAAAATAATCGCTTGTTTTAAAATGAAAAGAGGACAGTGTTTGTGCACATACGAATCGTGCAAGTGATTTCGCGTTGCATGAGTGATGAAATTTCTTCCAACAATACGAATAGCAATTGCATTCTGATTAGAAGGTAAACGTTTTCGATTCGACGACGACGGGCGATTTTTGAGAATGCACCGCGGGAGGCCGTGACGACCGTAACGACTCATGCATTACGAATGCGCAACGAGAATAATCAAATGCGCGTTAGCCGCGCGCCGTCCCGTCACGCCGCGCAATACAAATCCCGCGGGCGGGCAGAGGGAATTACAATGCATATAATACACGGCATTTGACTAGCTCCGCGTATAACTATGCTATTGTAAACCGACAAACATTTTGACGCATACAAATGCGGCCTAGTTATCGGGATATTTTGCCGTTGTGCGGCGCGGCGCGGCGCGACGCAGCGATACATCTGGAAATATTCGAGTCATAAGTCGCCAATTAATAGAGCCAATTCCTATGTATTGTTAGTCAAACGTGGGGCACGTTCCGCGTAAAATTCCTACGATGAAAACGTACTTCTTCAACTCTGACCCGTTTAGTTTTACGAAATGAAAATCTGTGGCTGGACGACCATTAACGAGTTTTCGAAGACTTGAGGAGGAAGTATTCCTTCTCCTAATTCATGAATATTTCATGAATTTACTCGGTAAATGGTGTTTGATGATAATCCTCATTTGTCGTAATCGCACCGGCTATTTACCGGATAAATTCAGAACTTATCGAGAATGCCGATTATTACGGTAAATGAAACATGATAAAGAGTCGTATGCTTTTTATCGTAGCTTGGATATCCCAACGGTACTTGGCCTAATTGCATAAATGGGCCTCCCGAATATCGACCGGGCGAGCCGAGGGTTGCACGACACCGGGTAAAAGGGTAAAAGAAATAAACGCAAAGGGGGTAGCGGACACGCGCGAAAAGGGAGAACCCTTGGCGTGAGAATAAGAGGGAAAGGGGAAAGGGGATGAAGGAATGAGGGAGATAGTTGCGGTGCCGGAGTCAGGTTGTACGGCCGCGCGGGCAGGAAGGAGAGGACAGGTAAAAAGAGGCAAGGCAAACCGGAAAAGACGTCGAACGACTCGAAGAAATTGCTCTTAACGATCTTCGATTTTCTCGTTAGGCGGAATCGTTCCTGGAAGCGTCCTACGCGACGGCCGGTGTCGCTACGCCTCCTGCATTTACGACTACCTATAGCTCGAACCTTCGCAAACTATCAGTTTTCTTTCTATCAGCGGCCACCTTTCGTCTCCTCGTGTCACTCCTCCTCCTATCTCGTCCCTGTTCTTCCCTGCACAATCTTTCAAATTATCCTTCCATACCTCTTCCCTTATTTCTCCTTTAACCCGTCACGACTTAACTCGGTCACGACGTTGTCGATCTTGCCAAAAGACGTCCCGTTCGACCAGCTTTAATTCATTTTAATGGGACGAGTTAATTTTAAAATGTTCTCTCGTAATTTCGCTCCTGTATATTTCGTTAGTCACATTATTATATTTGTACTTTGTCCGGTAAAATTAAACCGCGAACATTTATTATGCGCGAGACCCGTATATCTGTCGTTATTAATTTATGGCACAACAGACTCACCGTGACAAATATAATTTATTTAAAGAGTTAAAACATTTTGCAATAACGTAAGTATTTAAACAGTTTTGCGTATACATTTTTAAGTTGAAAATTAAAACTGGAGTCAAGAATTTAATATAATTATATCAGCTTTCAACAATTCGGCGTGAAAAATGATAAATAAAATGGGATAAAAAAGGAATTATTGCGATAAGAAGCAAAAATTGAAAACGAAAATGTCTGAAGAGATACATCAACATTTCACTTTCCATACTTTCCTAGAAAAAAATCACAGGATAACCTATGACAAGCCTTAACAAATTCGATACAGATGGTATCGACCCTCGGACTATATCTCTTTCCCCTCAATGCGTCATCTCCAGAAAACGGAAAGACCGTACGCGTAATTTTCTTCTTTTCACAAATAATACCGAAACGCGTCGAGAGTTAGCCGACAATAGCCCCGACCGGATTATGTCGTATCGACGACTGATATTGTATTTCTCTTTATATTTCCGGAATGAATTGAATGCCACTCCTTTCGAAGCGCGGATAGAAATACCGCACATATTCGTTTGTTCATTCGTTCCCGGCGAAAAAAAAAAGAAATAGGGAAAGAAACGTGGAATAACTTTGAAAAACTCCAGCAGACGATTTTCAGTAGCTCAATAGGACCTCCCGAGTTATGTCATATGGATGACTAGTATTGTCTACCTGTTTACGTTGCCTGAATGGCGGTTACATTGTTTCGCTTCGCACGCGATATATGACGGTCAAGTTGTCACACGTCACGTGATATCCGCATTTTCTACACACGGAAACACAGCATGGATTCTCGTTCGGGGTTGAACGATCTCGGGGCTCAACTATTGGATTGTCATAAAATTTTTACGCATGTTATTAACGTACCGTGGAAAAGATTTATTGTTTCCCTTAATAAATCGGTCGTAATAAATATAAATAATATGCAGTAAGAATATAAATACAAAATATAGATGTAATATTTTGCGCTAAAAATATTTTTTTTTGCATAACGCCCATTGGTGATTCATCATACATATGCAGATGTAGATTTTTTTTTATATTGTTCGATGACATTTTCCGTCACATTTTTACAGTTGAATTTTCACGTTTTTGCTCGTGTTTCAGTGATCGAAGTCAAGATAGGACAAGAGCAGAACTCGAATGAGAAGCTGTCAGCATTAAGAATGCATAGTAGCGAGTACAAGAATAAAGACGCCGTTTGCGAAGTCGTTCATCTCGTTACGAAATGTATCCAAAAGTTACACACGTTTCAGATAAACTATTTCTTCCAAAGAAACTGGCTTATCAAGTTATCTCAAAGCATGCGTGCGTGACGAAGGTGACGATACTGATTCTAAACTCCTATCTGGAAAAATCTATTTAAGATCTGTAACTCTAATTGTACAGATCTTGTAAATAAATTGGATACACACGTAAAATAATTTTTGCGAATCTACAAATTATATTATTAAATTGTATTAAGGTTTTCTAAAAATTCT